TTCAGTAGTTGCCCTAGTCTGCCTAGGGGCTGAGGAAGTGACAGTTAGAATGTTAATTCCAAGCGTAAGCCTTGAAAATTGTCGTTCAAACGACTCTTCCTCCGAGGGATATTTAATTATGATTTTCAATTCTAGAAGAGATTCAATTTTGGTATGGTCAAGGCCCATAATTCCTCCAAGAATGAAGCCGGGATTCCAAGAAGCCTTGAGTTTGTATTGAAGTTTAGAAAGTGTGCAACCTAACCCTCTACAGTGCTTGGTGTTTATTTTCGCTTGAGGGGGATGAGTGATTGCCTTAACAACGCCTTGCCCATTTTTTCCAATGCCAAACCCTAGGCAGAACCCTGAGCCAGTAGCATATCATGTGCCATGTACGAACCATTGTCATAATGAGCATAGCAATCTTTTAGTTTCTCGGACAGTTTAAGAGAACTACGAACCCCTCACGTGATTGTTTCTATGGGCCAATGGGATAAAGAACAACATGGAAAGAGTTTCTCATAACCTCAAAAAAGTAGTTCATCTCTATCTCTTTTAAGTAAGAGATAAGAAGAAATATCTACCCATACCAATCACATTAGACTTCCATATTTCATGGGATCATGACTTGGTCAACAAGTCATATTTCCATCTTTCCAAAACTTCACTTCTAGACAGACTATTTTCATTGGTGCCCCTCCCTCATGGGATGGCACGTCCAACATATTGTCCAACTTAGGGATCTTAACAAAATATCAAAAAATTTAAAAAATTCAAAAAATAAGAAATTTAGTTTTAATATGGTTTTTATGTTTTCTATCATCTTGACAAAGATTGAAAAATATTTTGGCCATGAATACTTATTTTTTACATTTCCCTTTTTTTTTAGATTATTTCTAAAATAGCCCATCACAAATTGATTTTTTCAAAATCCATTTTTTCACTACCTTTTTAACCTCATTTAGATATGTTCTATTTAAATTTACTTTAAACATATTTTTCCTAATTTTTTTGAATTTTTTTGTGTTTTTTATTTTTTAAAACTTTTTTTCTTAGCTAGAACTCAGTTCAACTTGGGCGGAGTAATCAGCTCGGGATTGGGCCGATTACCCTGCCCGAGTCAAACTTTCCAACACTAGTGGAAACTGAACGACCTCGACATTGATGGATGTTATTCTGCATATCAATTCTGGTAGTTTTAAAGAGTTGTCCCATGGTCCAAACCAAGCTACCTGATCTTTACCTACCCAAAAAGACTATACCTACCCAAAAAGACTATGGGGCTCAATGCCTGTTGCTATCAAATATCTAATCATGTGGAACCCTTTTTCATGCAGCCCTAAATCCATTACTTAAGATATACATGTATGATCTCGCATGACACTCCACAGAGGCCTACGAGTTAATAATCTCCACAAATTTAAGAATCTACACACTTCACCATTGACTCTGATAAAAAGATGATTGAGCTTTTCCTGGCTCAGAGTCCAATCTTAGTCATTGACAGCCTTGATACAATGTCCAAAGGTTTGAATCCCATGTCCAAGCCATAGGAAAAAAAGATGAAATAAAAGAAAAGAAATAGTTGGGCTTGTAGCACATTATACATAGTGAAACAGAGACCTCGTGTTGCTTATTTATGGAGGATGCCTGGTGTTACCTTATTTACAGAGGATGATGCCCTGTGTCAAGCAGTTCCTGGAGCGCAATTATGTCTCAGGGCATTGTAGGATCCGCCGTTGGTGTCTATTCTTATCTTTTTTTTCTATTTTCTATGTTTAGCCTGGGTTAAGCTTATCCCTATCCATGTAGTAATTAAGCAGAACCCTGCAATTAATTTACATGCCCACAAAATTACATGAAATGTACAAGTATACAGAGCTTCGAACGGTGATTTTCTTGGTAAACATGAATTCTTATAGTTGGTAAATATAAGAATTTATTCAAACAAATTAAATAACACATCATTGTAACCTCAGCAAATAAACAATTAAGGAAAAACAATTAAGAGATTCCTTCAAGAAAGAAGTTGAGTACAGCACATAATTAGGTATATAAACATGTTATAGTTATCAAGATACATAAACTCTCCTTTACAATGCCATAGTTAACTTTATGTAGATATGATCAAAAGGCAATCCACTAAGATTTTTCTTTAAAAAGCTTAGAAAATTACTCAAGTTCGAACTTGTTTGCCATTGATACCTCAAGAATTGATGAATAGGATTCATTACTTAGATTCATATATTGGAATGGAGATAGAAAGTGTGATAACTCTTAGAGCCTCTTTACATTAATTAAAGGTCCCATGAGGTATCTCATAGGTTTCAACATGATCATCCCATTACATCTTTCAACATGATCATCCCATTACATCTTGAGTGGTTGCTAAATGGTGATCCCTCAAAATTAACCAGCTATAAAATATAACATTGAACTTCCTTGAACATTAGAGCTTAGAGCTTTTAGTGGTTTTCATTCTCACGGACACCACCCCACTAATATCTTAAAAATCTAACTCTTAATTTATTTGTAGAAACTGATAGGAACTTGTCTTCCCCACTTAATTATCAAAAAAAAAAATTGGTCACAACTCAAAATTTTGAATTTTATGTTAGTTGAATCTGCTAATCTTTTACCATATTTGACTCTTAATTGTTGTTTATTTAGTGTATGTGAATAGGCCTGTGAGACATCTACCACAAGCTCTTATATTCACTAATTTTTAGGCTTAAAATGAAATCGAAGTCGAAAGAAAGGAAAAATAGTGGTTTAATTACATTAAATCCAGCAACTGCCTTCATCAATTTGTAGCCTTCATGCAAACTGCATTTTAACATTGTGGCACTGAATTCTACCTACGCGTTCTATACGTAGCGGGGGGGCCCATTCCACAGTCTCTACTCTCTAAAAAACATAAAAGGAAATCTCTTTTAAAATGATTTAAATGCCAAATATAACACGCCAGGATTAACCTACGGTGTACTTTCTTTGAGTGACTTTTCTATAAGGTGCCATCTATTTTAGTTAAAATATTATAAATTTGACAAATTTACATGCGTTTTAAAACTATCGAATAAATAAAACAACTTTGAATGCCATATCAAATCTACACCATTTCGAGAAAATCAATTGCATAGATTAGTGTAATTTTATTTATAGAAGTAAAAAAGTAAGGGTGCAATCTGATTTTAACTTTTTACATGCTTTCTTTGTGACCTTTTAATCATTGGAAATAGATTGCCGCCGCCTATTTAAATGCATTACACGTCGATATTCCTGTGGGAGCATAGTGTGCCTCTACTCCCTCGTTTATCAGAGCTACTTAGGAAGAGTTTTTTAATCCGAAATTTGCAACTACCTAAAAATCGCTAAGTGATTGTCCTCAAAAGAAAAATCAGAATTATTATTTTTTAACACTTAAATCTTTTTTTTTTTCCTTAGAAGATGCAATTTTAGACATCTTTTTGGAAATTAATATATGGGGTTAAGAGGCTCTATCTCTAAAGAGCCGTTTGGATACCTGAAAATATATTGTCTGTGAAATATATTACTGACATAATACATTACCTGTAAATGGATTGTTACTATTTGGGTAGTATTTACATGCAACTTGCAAAAAACATTGCTACTGTTTGGCTGGCCGGAAGAAATATGGGAAATGCATTATCAACATCTTACCCGCACTTGCTTATAAACTATCATTTCTTTTTTTTTGTCACAACATTCTACTGAAATGCGGAATTAAAGTAATCATCACATCATTCCAAAAAGTGTTTCTAATAATAACATCATTACCATTCCAAAAGATTTTATAATAATAACTTGTACCATTATAAATCCATGATGACACCATTTCCTACTTATTTTGCATGCCGTTGGCACTTACATAGAATCTCATGTCTTTAACACTAATAGACTTTGGTTTCAACATGATAAGACATTGGAATAATATGATTGGAATAACATGATTTTATTGTGACAAGCCTAATTTTTATTTATTTTTTATAGAAGTATTTTAAATGTCTCTCTATATAATTTTAAATAAACAACAAATTTATGATATCAACTTTAAAATCTTTATAGTACAAGTTGAAAAATGGAAATAAGTTTGATTAGTAAACTAAAAGGATTGGTAATTGCCGTAGAAAATTTTGAAGATTGGAGTAGACTAAGGAGGTGTCTTATTTCAATTGAGCTTTTACTAATCTCTTATGAGGATTATGGTGGTGAAATTTTTTATTATGATTTTGTAGGGCTTACAAGGACTCTTTTGTTACTCTCTCTTCAAGTTAGCAGTAGTGACTCTCCTTCATCTCTCTTTTCAGGTTAACAGAAAAATGTACAGATGAGATAAAAGGGTTAAAGAGAGAGGGCAACTAGTTATTAGGGCCAAGGGAGATGACAGGGATCACCAAACCAAAGGTTTCGTAAAGATATTTTCTTAAGCGGAGATACAGTAGATATTTGCGAAAGATTTACTACATATTAGATTTTTCACCACGGTAATGGTTTGAGGATTTTTTGTGAAATCTCAAGTAATCTCGGATATTTCCTTTCATATTTTCTTATAATCTATTGTCATTTAATAGATTTCTATATACCCTAACGCTCCCTACAAAAATCAATCCTACATTGCGCTTTTATTCAAAGGAGTATAAATAGACAGTGCGCCCCGCCGGCTATTAATCCTAAATGCGCTTTTACCTAAAGGAGTAAATACACAGTGTGCCCCAACGGATTTTAATATGATTTATCTTTAAAGGTAAAGGGTGAAAGTGTAATTTGTATGAAAAAGTTATTGACGTTACTGAGCCAAGAGAGAGGGGAAGCCCAACCGTCACAGTCGCTGGAGCATCGTGGCCGTCAAATGGGTATCAAACTGGACGGTCCCCAGAGGCCCATTAATGATGAGCCGTTCTTAACGAAAAGCTCTACTATATTTTCTTCAATCCAAATATTAAACCCATTGTTGGTAATGCTCGGTTTCAGAGAAGGAGAGAGAAGTGAGAAGAAGAGGAGAGAGAAGAGAGGAGAAGAAGAGGAGAGAGAGATAGAGAGAGAAGAATGAGGAGATTCGAAGAAGAAATGTCGAGCTCGATTGCGCAGACACTGCTCCCCACCACCACCACCTTGAAAACTCTCTTGATCAAGGGCCAATGGAGTTCCGAAGAAGACAAGTTATTAAACAAAATTTAATTCTTCTTCTCTCTAGTTTTCCTTTCATCAAATGCAGTCTTTCTCTCTCTGGATTTAATCTTGCTTCTCTTCCTCATGGTGTTGATCAGAAGCAAGAGAAAGCCCTGTTGGTTATTTTTTAAATGCAATATTTCTCTCTCTCTGCCATTTATGCACTCTCTTATTTCCTTTGATCTCATTTTTTCGATTAAAAGAAAGAAAACCCTCCTTGTTTTTCATAAAATGGCTTGACATTTTACTTTCTTTTGCTTTCGATTCTAAGAAACAGAAAAATGGAAAAATTGTGTAGGATGCTGGTGAGGCTTGTGGACGAATTTGGAGAGAAGAAGTGGTCTCAGATCGCTTGCAGACTGGTCGGAAGGGTCGGAAAACAGTGTAGAGAGAGATGGCACAATCACCTTCGACCTGATATCAAGGTACTCTGCTCACTTCTCTTTTTTACTGGATTTGATTATTTTTAGTCATTTTGTCATCTATAAATCAAATTAAATTTTCTCTCTGCGTTCACATAATGGTTTTAAACAACGAAGCAATATTATTTATATTTATTAATTCTATGTTCTTAGTTTATGTTATTTTATGCGTTCTGCGTTATTATATAAAAAATGGGTTATTCATTAAAGTTCCTTACAACCTTGTATATGTTTGTCAACAAGAAAGCGGTGTATTAATAGGCATACACTGTAGGTATTCATCTGCACATGTTGATACTATTGCTCTCTCTTTCTCTCTCTCTATCTAGAGATTCATCTGCACATGTTGATACTATTGCTCTCTTTCTCTCGGGATACTATTCCTCTCTCTCTAGGGATACTATTTCTCTCTCTCTTGAAAAGGAAGTTGGGAAATTGATTAGGCGATTGGCATCACTTTAAGCATATTTTTTCAAAATAAATAATAATAATAAACAATTTTCATGTTGTCTAAACGTGGTGGATCTTCATAGATAGAAGGCATGCAAGTAGCCAAACAAAATACATTTAAAAGCTTTTATACATGTGTATTGCATTCTGTAGTGTATGCCAAATCTTGCCTCAGGTCGTCTCATTAAATCTCGTTTTTTTAATATATCAATGATTAATATTTATAACTACTTATATTCAAATAAGCACTCAAAATTTATCAGAAAATTATCGGCGTTTTTGTTATGGACCCGGTTTCTATGCGGCCCAGCCCTATAGGAATGCGGGCCTTTTAATAAATCTAGTTTTGAGATGGATTTAAAGACTTAATTTTCAAAGACATGTAATCTCCAACATGGAAATCATGAATATGAAAAAATAAATAAAATTGAAAACCAGAAATAATAATTCTAGTAAAAAAACATTTGGACAGTTAGTTTCCATTGTTTTAAGATGGAACACCTACTTGCGTCCATCTTTAAGATGAATGATTTACACTTTTTGGACCTCATATATAGAAATGCGATCCAGCTCGTATGAAACAATTTTAGTGAGAGAGAGATTGTGCTCGTAATGAATAAAGGTAGAAGAGAAAGCATTACGGCTAGCCAATCTAGACTCGCCCAAGTAACTTGAGCGAGCCCAAGTATCCTAAGTTTGGTGGTCATGCTTTGAGATATATTAAAAAATAAAAAAAATTTCTAAAAAATCTTTCTTTATGTTTTTTATAATTTTGACAAAGATTGTAAAGTGTTTTGGTCATGAATACTTAATTTTACAATTTTCTCTTTTTTAGATTATTTATAAAATACCCCGTTCACATTTTTTTTCTATATCTATTTTTTAATACTTTTTTAACCTTATTTGTTTAATTTTACTTTAAACATATTTCTCAAACTTTTGAATTTTTTGTATTTTTATTTAACACATTTGGCCTCCTGACTCGGCCAAGTACCTCAAAATTCGGCCCTATTTCCTCAGCTACTCAGGCTCGGCCCATGGCCAATTTCCGTCCCGGAGTCATGGTTTCCAACACTGTGAGAGAGGAAAAGAAGAGAATGAAAGCCACCCAACCAAACATGAGATGAGAGGAGTGAGAGAGAGAGAAACGCGGCCATTTTGTTTTCTGGCTCATGTTTGTTGCATCTTTTTGGCTAGTTTTATTTGCCAAAGATAGAATGTGGCTTTTCATGGCCTCAACAAATTGAATTTGTCATGCGCATGTCATGTCAGCCAAACCATGCCCATGTCATGCTCTTCAAACCCTAAAACACATTTTTCGTTTTTGAGGCCCTCCTGTTGGATCTTGGGTATAAATTTCCTGGATTTCCATTAGCAAGATATCAGATATCAAATTTTTTAAAACAACATATTAGAAATTCAATAAAAGAAAAATAAAATAAAAACGGTAAATTTTCGCAACAACCAGTTTTTTCCTATTCTTATAGTATGCTCCATATTTTCTTCAAAATTATGTGGAGACCATCCCCGCGCCCACCTTCCTCTATTGTTGAGGCTGGGTCGTTATCACGAATATGAAACACCACTGTCTCTTGATCTACAATGTTGGATAACCCTAATACCCATGGTGCATTCAACACCAATGATAGCAGGTACCTGCTAATCCTTGTCTTTAGGTTGTCTGATGTTACTAACACCGAATATTTCGTCCCTTAGCAAGAGACTTGTTTGGCATTGAAAATATCGAACAACCCAAAAGGCAAGGATGTTAGGTTGTCCAACTTTGCTGACACCGGACACTTCATTCCTCGGCATGAGGCCTATCTCGAATAATCTGAAGGCAAAGATTTGGAGATATCCAATATTATTGATGTCGAGCACACCATGGATTTTAGGCTGTCCAACATCCTCAATGTCGAACAGAACAAGGGATAGGGGTGCTTAGTGTATTTGATATCAACAGGCCTTCAAACTTTAAATTTTCCACATGTTTGATGTTGGAAATGGTCGAATTTTGGGGGAAAAAATAGAAGAATGAAGAATGACGGGGGATTGCTCTCTACGTCATTTTGGGGAAAATGTGAAGCATATTATAAAAAAGGGGAAAATAACATTTGGAACTGCAGAAGGATGCCTGGAGTGAGGAAGAAGAGAGGACACTAGTGGAGGCGCACGCTGACGTCGGGAACCGGTGGGCGGAGATTGCCAAATGCCTACCTGGGCGCACCGAGAACTCCATAAAGAACCACTGGAATGCAACCAAACGCCGGCAGCTCTCGACCAAACGATCCCGTAATAGTAATAACAATAACAACCACCACCATGGAAACACCACCACCACCAGCACCCAACGCCCATCAACGAGCTCAGTCCTCCAAGAATATATTAAGACCCAAACCCTTCCAACCACAACAACAACAACAAGAAATTTAATGGTGGGTTTGCCTCCCCCATTGAAAGAAATCCCCGAACAATTGCCGAAGATGTTGCAGGCTGAACCCCTGGCATGTGCTGGTTTTCCGATTGCTCCTAATCCAATGGCTGGTATGGAGAATGGATGCAGTAGTGGCAGTGGGAGCAGCAGCAGCAGTAGCTGCGGCGGTTATAGTGTGTGTGATAGGGAGAGCTGTTGTGATATGGATCTGTTTAGCTTGTTGGAGTGTCATGCATGCGCTGGCGGAGGAAGTTTCAGAGGAGGAAGAAATTATTGTTATGGACTGGAAGAAAAGCAGCAGAAGGAAGGACACGATTGGTTTCCCGAGCCTAAAATGGAGATAGAAATTAAAGAGGAGGAGGAGAAGGTGAGGAGGGAGGCCGATCTGTTTGAGCTGGTTGCAGGCACGGTGCACCCTGAGTGTAGTAGGTGGACTGGTAATAAGTGGGTGATGGAACCTTCGTGTTTCTACTGAGATGGGTGCCTCTATCTTTAATTTGATGTTTTCAACTCTGTGTCTGTGTGTATTTCTCTTGCTCTTTTTTTCTTTGTTTGAATGGAAGCTCGCTCTTTCTCTCTCTTGATTTTTCCCTTCGTTTGTTGCTTTTTTCAGTGTTTCAGCTCCCTCTACCCCTGGCTCAATGTCTCTCTCCTAAGCACTGTCCTCTCTCTCTCTCTCTCTCTCTCTCTCTCTCTCTCTCATAATTCAGATGAGTGTCTAAGCTCCTTTCCCATGGCCTTTGACTTGGTTCAGCTCCTAAACTGGTTTCTCTTTCAACTTTTGTACAAAAACGATCAAATCTGGATATTGCTTCATTTCTTTTATAGAACGTACTTCTTTCTTTTTTAGAACATCAAGTTCTATGTGCTATACGAGTGTTTGGTGATATCTTCCGTCTCTCTCCTCTTTCTTGTAGGTTCTATTTCTGTGTTGTCGTTGGCATTTTGTTAGTTCAGGAAACTAAGCCTCCGAAGTTTTGCACTTTTTATAAAAAATATTGATTTTTGGTATAAGAAGGTCATAATTATTTTTATATATTGGATCTAGCTATCAATGATAATTGTAACTTTCTTACAATAAAATTAGATGGTCTCATTACAATAAAAAGGGTTGTGACTGATATCGTGATGTTGTATAAATTTTCTAGCAAAACTACGAGCAAAAATAACCGCGTTTAAAATAAATAAAAATCGTGAAGGAAATCATACGAAGAAAGAACAAAATATGCCGATAGTAGTATTCCTTTGCAAGAAACACTTGTTTTATTCTGTAAAATTCAATCTCCATTACAACTCCCATGCTCCTATTAAAAGAGTTCTACGGATAGTATATTCCTTTACAAGAAACACTTTCTTTATTCCATAAAATTCAATCTCCATTACAACTCCCCTGATCAATTAAAGGAGTTCTAAGGATAGTAGTATTCCTCTACAAGAAACACTTTTTTTGTTCCATAAAATTCAATCTCCATTACAACTCACATGCTAATGATAAATTAACGCCCTTATCAAATAATATCTTTTACTTCTTAAAAACCTTCCTAACTCAACCTTATCGTTTTTAATAGATAACCTTAAAGCAATTCGTATTCTTCTTCCCATCCACATGACCCACGTCCACCTCTTTAGATGGAATCCTTTCTAAATATTTCTTCAAATAAAAGATGAACATCAACCTAAGAAAAAGATATCTAAAATCAACTCGCGTAAAAAAAAGAAAGGAAACAAAAAAACAGACTTATCAAATTAACTAAAAACTTGTACTAATACTATTTTTAAAAATTAATTCTAATAAATAAAAATTAAAATTCTACCCAACCTTTAAAAATAAAATTATCAAAAATAAAATTAAAAATTTTTAGCATCCAAATTTTCATCTGCATCATTCTCCCTGGTTGAAGAAAACTCAACCTCGAGTTTGAATTTCTCTAAGATCAACATTCTCCTGGTTGAAGAAAACTCAACCTCGAGTTTTGAATTGCTCTAAGATCAACTTTGTATCCTGCCACTTTCTTCTATCCGAATTCCTGCCACTTTCTTCAATCTGAATGTTATAAACACGATCTTGGAACATGTGGGTTTCGATCCAAATGTTGTAAACACGATCTTGAAATCTGTGAATAACGATGGTGTATTAAAATTGTGAAACCCTCGAGGAAAAGGTCGTTGTAGGTAGATTTTTCAGATTTTTCAGCCACATCCACTGGCTGAAATTGCTCAAACTTCAAGTTTAGGGCAGGCACATATGCATTTGTTTCTTTGTTATACATTTCCAAAGGCTCAGGATCAAGTCAACCCCTTGAGTTTCTACCTCTCCATCAGTAAGAAAATTAGATATCCTTGCCGCCTCAAAGATAACTTTTTTCCTTTCTTCTTGTTTTTTATCAAAAAGAGGAACTTCAAAGATGGGGTAACCTATGACATCAAAGAGTGATAATTCCAATTGAATATTCAAACCTACTTGTTCTTCATCTTCAATAGATCTTCATCAAACTTAGGTCAATCAATCTCCCGACCATAAGGCAATTGATCACTCTCCCAACTGTGAGGCTCTTGACCCGACGCAGAGCATTGGCATTAAACAGGTTCTCGAAAATGGTCATCATAGTATATCGAAGCTAGTTTTTGCACTAAGCACAAGGTCAGCTCTTTTAGTTGCCTTCTCAAACTTTTGTTTTCTACCATTGCCTTCTCAAACTTTTGTTCTCTACCTCACGGGGAGCTTGGAGGTTTCGTTCATATTAAATGGGCTGAGTCCCCATGACTGCCCAGCAGTAGACGATGTCCACTAGCATGAGGCCGATCGTCGGCGAACACCACGATCCACAAGAATCAAGTACACTCTGATACCACCTGACACAATATAAAATTTACCTACAAACACCACCAGCAAAAATATCCGCGTTTAAGAAAAAAATAAAAATCGTAAAAGCAATCACAAGAAGAAAAAATAAAAAATAAAAAATTCAAAATGAAATCACAATAACAAAAATAAAATCTTAAAAGAAATCACAAAAAAAAAAACAAAACTCGCAGATACGAGTACTCCGACACGGGCCCATAAATATAAGAAAAGAAACAACACCCACAAAAACACATCTCTCTATACAAGAAACACTTCCTTTATTCCATAAAAATGGATCCCCATTACAACTCACGCGCGGTTTGGCTTCACTAAAATGATAACCTCCATAAACTTACCCCTCATCTAATAATATCTTTTACTTCCTGAAAACCTTCCTAACTCAACCTTATCCTTTTTAATAGATAAACTTAAAGCAAATTCGTATCGTTCTTCCCATCCACGTGACCCACGTCCACCTCTTTAGCTGGAACCCTTCTAAATATTGCTTCCAAATAAATGATGAACATCGATAAATATACCTAAAATCAACTTGAAAAAAACGGACTTATAAAAATAAACTAAAAACTCATACTAATCTTATTTATAAAAAATTAATTTTAATTATGAAAATTCTACCCAACCTCTAAACATAAAATTATAAAAAATAAAATTAAAAATTTGTAGCATCCAAATTTTGATATGCATCATATCCCCACTGAGTCACCAAAAAAAAAAAAACAAAACAAAAAACAAAACAAAACAAAAACAAAACAAAACAAAACAAAACAAAACAAAACAAAACAAACAAAAACCAAAAAACAAAAAACAAAAGAACAAAAACAAAAACAGAAAAATGGACTCATTGTATAATTTTCTTTCCTGGCAAGAAAATTTTAACACTTAAAAAGAAACACTCAAAAAACTAAACACAAAAAAATGAGGATTTGATTTTGCCCACCAGAGTAGCGTGATGTTGATGTTTTGCTGGAGTGGCAGAAAATTAGAGTTTTAGGGGTTGTTTGGATACTTGGAAATATATTTCTAGAAATGTTTTTCAATAGAGATTGCACATTTCGGGCATTTGGATCGAAATTTTGGGACCCAAAAGTATTTATGCCAGTAATTGTTTTCCTCATTTCAAGACAAATAAAAAAATATGTGTCCTAGTCTTACCCTCTACTGAAATTGATTTCCAGCCAGATTTCCCCATTACGAATATGTCCACTTCATAAAATACAATTAATTCTGCAAAAACACGCCCTCGAATTAGAACACGAAACTATCTCAAATTTTTCATTTGGGAGTGAGAAAGTATCTTAAAATTTTAGAGATAGAAACTATATAATTTTAGAGAGTGAAACGATCTAAAATTTTTAGAGAGACAAATTATCTCAAAGTTTTTATAGGGAGAAAAAATATCTAAAAAATTTAAAGAGAAATTATGTCAAATTTAGAGAGAGAAATATATAAAAATATTTTAGAGAGAGAAACTATCTCAAATTTTAATTTTTATAAAGAGAAAGTATCTAAAATTTTAAGTTTTAGAGAGAGAACGTTGGTCGGGGCTGATTTCTCGTTGTCCAGGATAGCCCGATATGGTGGGTGACCCGATTGGAGGAATCCTCTTTCAAACAACTGCGGGGCCCACGCGCTTGTGCACACGTGTAATTGCAGTGCGGATAGGAACCAACAAAGAGAGATTTTAATCCACAAAGAAGGGCTCGAGCATCTACCTTACCGTGTTGGGGTTTAGGGGCTTCGTCCGAGCGATTCGCCCTCTTAGATCATCTCGAAAGCCCTACGGCTGTCCTTGCAGTGCAGTTTGAATTCGGCTCCCTCACTTTCCTATGCAGCACTTGGATCCACACACTAAAAATGGCCTTCAGGGTATACTTTTAGGTGTCTCCTCCTATTGGTACTATGGTAAATTGAGGGTCTAAACTAAGGCTTAGTGGGGTGATAGAAGTTCTTTACCACTCAAGTGTGACGAGACTCAGTGAGTAGAGCAGTTAAAGAGTTAGAACTCTATGAATTGCTAACTCAGGATGACCCCATCCGAGTGAGCGAGGGCAAGAGCTTCAATATCTCTCGCAACTCAACTCAACTCAACTGTATGGAATAGAGGTTAGAGCAGCAGTAGGAAAGGTAAAACCACAAAAATAGCTCTAAGTGTGGCACTAAGTCGAACACACAAAGAATTGAAGAAGCTACTAACACAAAAGAATAGAGGGGTTGTGAAGATTAGGGTGTGTTCAAATCAGTATAGGTTCGGATGGGTGAAATGCGAGTAAAAGTGTGTGAAAGAGGTGTGTAAGAGAGTAGAGATAAGAGTACGTGGTTGAGAGTGAAGTGAGTGTGTGAGTGAGAGTTTGAATGGGAGTGTATGATGTGAGTGTGTGAGTGAGAATTTGAATGGGAGTGTATGATGTGAGTGTGTGAGTGAGTGTGTGAGTGAGAGTATGAGAGTGTGTGAGTGAATGTGAAAGAGTTAGTGAGAAGAAGGGATAAAGCAGACCTGCCTATGGCACTGGTTCGGGTCTATGTGGGGGTGGAGAGATGATGAGAGAGATAGATGAAGGGAGTGAGGAGGGAGGAACTCACCTATGGTGTGGGTCCGTGTCTTAGGAGGTGAGTAATGAGGGCGAGAGACAGTAAGATATAGATAGAGAGGGACAAACTTGCCTATGACACGGGTCCGTGACCTAGTCTGTGTGTGAGAGAGAGAGAACAAGAGAGTAAAAGAGAGGGGGAGATGATGGACCCCCCTAAGGTGCGGGTT